GCCCTCTGATAGCGTTGCATCGGTTATAATTCAATAACGGCATAAACAATTCAGTTGCGGCCAGCGCTAATTGATTGTTTAAACAGCTAAATGTCCAAGGCGGGATTTTCTCCAGCATTTGAATAATGCATGACACTCCGGGCGGTGTGGAACTGCATTCAATGCAAGCTCTGATCGATGCACAGTGGGTCGAATTGGCGGATGAGTCTTAAATAATTGATTGAAGTTCAGTTTAGTTAAGTGAAGTGAGTTTGAACAGGAAATTGCCCGTGCAAATGGAGATGGAGGGAATACAAATTGTAAATCACCTCTGATATGTTCATTATTATTTTTCAGATACGAACCACTGTGCTTTGGCCCACTGAGGGCTAACAATCATACGCAGCGTGGGCGCTGGTGGGGCGAACAGTAACAACAAAACATCAGGCTGTCATAAAGAGTGCATATTTATGTGACTAATTCGAAATAAAACATAAAACTCACCAAATAATATTAAGAGTCTTGGAGCAGACCGAATAACTGAAACTGAGAAACCGAGAAACCGAGATGCATATCAACAATTAGGACGCCCCATGGAGCTAGCCCTGGCCACGAAATGAGAGAATTGGTAATGGGCAACCGAGAATTGGGAATTGAGAATTGAGAAATTTGACGCTTTTACGAGCCAAGCGGCGTTCGGCGTTCGGCGTGCGGCGATCGGTGGACAGTGGATTGGATGGCTGTTCGGATCAGCAGCATAATGTCTCTCTTTGATATACCAAATTAAAGCATTCGATATTTGATCGGAGGAGCACTTTGCATATGAAAGAGACGGCGCTGTGTCAGCAGCGTCTGGCGCCAGTGATCGTGATCAGGTTGTTCGCAGAGAGCGGGGACCCCAAAACAACAGTCTAAACAACAGTCCCGTCCCAGAGTCAGAGTTCAGAGTCTGGGCATAATTGAGGCAATTAGAAAACATCAAAATATTGGGCCCTGGCCACAGAAAATTGTTAAATAAATAAACGCCAAGTGGAATGCTGTTGCGGCTCTTAATTAAGCACTTGAGGGCCTAAGCCCGGGCAAATGTTTACCCCCGCCGGGTCCGGCCACAAACTCAAGCAGTTGGCAATGACTGGGCGGATTGAGAGCAGAGCCGTAGACGGAGATAGATCCAGGGACATGGACAGGGACAGACTCACAGCCATAGCTAGATCCACGCCCACCCTCGCCTCGAATCATTCAATTAAAACGCTTACGAATTATTATTATGACAAACAAATGTCGAGGGCTTTGTGTGGCATGGAAAAGTGATGCCAATCTAGCTAACCACAGGAAGTGCCCCGCAAACGAAAACGGTAACAATCCCAAGCAAATTACAAGCAATTGGATCTCCAGATCCGATATCTTCAGCCCAGAGAGGATGACGGAAGTGGAGCCCAACATGCCGGACTAAAGTTCGTTTTCGGGGCAGACTGATCTCTCCGGTCCGTTCATTCTGTTCCCGGGCTGTCTTTTATACAAATGGACAGAACATGGACTTTAAAATTAATTACTTAATTTAACACAACACGCGGCCAGCGACACCTTCGATGATGTTCCATTCCAGTCAACGGCGACAACGGAAAGCACTAAACATTCATTCGGGCCGAAACCTGTTGGCCATCCACCACTGTGTGTACAAAAATCTCCATGGGTGTGTGTGTGTACGTATCTGAGACGATCCTGGGCCTAAAGACGCGGGCATAACAGATTAGTTAGCATATCCCATATCAGGGTAATTATTGTTAAATGAGATAACGATCTTGTACAGCGTTGACATTTATTTATTTTCCTTAATTTCGCCGTATTAATCTTCCAGGAAACACACATTAAACAGAACACCGAGATATGGAGAGAACACTCCACCGATATGGCACGTCCCGATCCGCACCGATCTTGAACTCAGCAATGCCCTCGCCTTGGCTCTGTCACTCTCTCTGGCTCCGGCTTTCTGGCTCTGAGGATGACTGCGTGTGTTCATTAAGCGAGCACCAGTTCAGTTCGAAGCCAGAAGAATTCCTTGGCTTGACAATTTGCATTATGCTGGCCATCGATCAGTGATCGGTGAAACACCGATAGTCCAATAATGAGCGCAACAAGAGAAGAACCCCATGGGCGGGGGCTGGGCTCCAATTCCAAGCCAAAACCGAAACTGAAACTCAATTAAAATCAGAAATAACGAAGAAACGAGACACAGCTAATTTAACCAAATTGGATTACTTAATAAACTTTATGGGATTAATAGCAACAGCAACAACAAGTTGTGCGTGGTGCTGCCCATAAAGTGAATGCGATGTTGTTGTTGGTAATATTATTTCTATATATTTTTTTGGGGCGCGCCGCATAACAAACCTTTTGAGGCATTCAAAAAAAAAAACCACGAAGCCACGAGGCAAAAAAAGTTGTACAAACATATGTATGTATGTATGTCTGTCTGTTTGTATGTCTGTCTGTCTGTAGGTACAGTAAGATATGTATAACATCATCAGCAACGGCAACAACTTACCAAATTGTGTTTTAATTTCTGAGAATTATCAGAAAGGGATTTCAGTTCAGTTCAGTTTCGTTGTTGTGTGTGTGTTTTCGTTCTACAGAAACATTTGAAATGATATTGAAAAGCGGCAGAGATAAGCCTCAGCTCCAAATCCAATTCCAACTTCAGCTTCAGCTTTGAATCGGTTATACAATGTTGGGGCGTGCCCCAGCCCCTGCCCCTGCCCCCCCATTATTAATTACAGCCCAGCACCGACTGTTGATGGGCAAAAGTCAAGAGGTTTATCTGTATCTCTGGATTGCCATCGAATGTGCGTGCCTGCTAAGCAAACAAGAGTCGCCATTAGATCCCCATACCCTCTCACCACTCCCCTCTCTCTTTCTCTCTCTCTCACTGTGTGGGGTTTATGGGTAATCGTGCGATTGTGATCTTGACTGAAGCATATAATTTGTTCTAACCTGATTTATGCCTTGCAATTGAAATTGCAAACTTTGCCATCTGAGGTATCTGCTGCCGCACTTCCGCCACTTTAGCCGGGCTGTGTGGTGGATGAGGGAGGGGGGGACCTTTGACAGAGTGCCACGATTTAGTGCTGTTAACAGCTAGTAATTAGCCTCGTTATGTCCGTTAATTAACCATATCTGCCCCACGAATCGAACTGAATCGCATCGAACTCGTACCCGTACTCGTATTCGCATCTGAATAGCTCTACTTTGCATTGCAGCTTGCCCATTGCAATTATCCACTACCCCATTACCCATTGCATACCCATTGCATATTCATTAGGTTTGTCGGATTTGAGTCGAATCGAGGCGATAGCTGTTCCGATAAGGATACCTCGCGCAGCCGTCCACCAAATGTCGCATAAATTTGTGCCCCCATAATAATAAATTTTGATTTTAAATCATTAGCACACTTCGATCCACAGCCAAAGCCCCAGCATTTAGTTAACCAGTTTCTGCTGCTGCGGCTCCTAGCCACCTCCCACCTTGTTGTGGCATAGACATGTTGTGGCCCCCTCTTCCGCTCCACTCTTTGCTCTTCCATTCCGTTTGATCTCTCACGAGCTGCGCTCAATTAAATTCTACAATAAAACACGATTTGCATTTTAAATTGTGCAATTAAAATGCTTATGAAATCTATAAGAAATAACGATCGCTAAATGCATTTTATAGTCGCCTCCTTCATCCACCACCTCCTCCTGTCCCCACCTGTCAGCCATCGAGCGGACAGCAACAGCAACAACAATGTTAAATGTCACACGCTAATTAATTGACGGCGCATAATTTCCAACTCTGTCACACTGTCACACAGTGGGACAAAATCCCTGGAAATGTGAAAGACATGTAGAGAAATTGAGCGTTGATTCAAGCGGCAATTGGAGAGACTCGAAAGGTTCAGAATGATTGTTTGATTGATTGATGTTTAAAGAAATATTTTACAGGAAATTTAAAAATGTACAGGGTACATTTCCCATTAAAAATGTTACATATTTCCACAAAAATATACAATATATATTATATACACATATATTTACAAACTTTTCAATGTGTACAAAAGGCAGAACTTTAATCTCATTTATAGAATTATTTAAAAGCTTGGGATGTGCAGAAGAATAGAACAGATTATTATATATTTCCTTGATTTGAATATAATATTTCTCTGTCATCCATATTTTTACTATAGTTCGAACGATTGTTTCAGAACCTGTTATTTAGTCAGTCATGACAGTCAGAATGCATGATAATAAATATATTTTATTATATTTCATTATGCGGTTGCATTCCATTATTTGTATTATGATTCTTACCAGTAAACCCCAGGCGCCCATATTTTCTCTCCAAATGAATAAAGCAAAAAGTTGTAGTAATTTTCTTTCATAATGAATATTTTATATTTAATATAATAATATTATTTTTTGTATGTTTTGCTTAAAATCATGATGTTGTTGTATCGGGGCTTAGGAAGTAGTACTCGTACTCGTAGCTAGCGACTAAGGCTACACTAATCGGGCTTAAATAATATCCAGCTGCAGTTGAGCGACTCTAGAGGTTCGTGCTTATGGCTAGACATAAATAAATGCTAGATCGTCATACAATATACAAGAATTATACAGTAGGGTAGGGGTAGGCGATAGTTTCTTTTCTTTGAGGAATTCACTAATTAAAATTAACGCGTCTGCTTCTGCGCTTCTACGCTGCTGGTCATAAATATTTACATGCTTAAACCATTAGATTTGTACAGTTATTAGATACTATAATTTATATAGATTTTTTGTGTTCTTTTTTGGGAAAGAGAAAGAGCTTCGAAGAAGAGGAAAACGTTTTTCCACCTTGAGCTCTACTCAACTTCTGTGTGTTTCTGCGCGGGGCCCCCTGGCAAAGGATTTGGCACTGTTCTTGAGAAGGAGACATTTTATGAGTGGTGTTGGAGGGGGCCTGAAATCTCTAATACTTTCTATCGCCTGCTATTTATGTACATCTCGCCATTATTTAAGAATATATCACAAAAAACAAACTATTTTACTCGCGGGAGAGCTTCTGGGAACTGGTGAACCCATCGACTGGGTAAGGAACTCACGGATGGAACTGTCTAGCGGTTCTAGTGGCTGGCATCCAGATCGTGCTCCTCATCACTGGCACAATCGTCCATCTCCATGTCGATGAGCTCATCGTCGTCCTCGTCCCCGCTACCATTGTGATGATTACGCTCGGAGCTTCCGCTGCCGCCCTTCTCGTCCTCCTGCTGCATCCGCTTGTGCTTGGTGCGACGGTTCTGGAACCAGACCTTCACCTGCGTCTCCGACAGGTTGAGCGACTGTGCGAGGGCCTTGCGCTCGGCCCCCACCACATACTGGTTGCTCTCGAAGGCGTGCTCCAGCTTCAGGAGCTGTGAGGGCGAGAAGGCGGTGCGGATGCGCTTGGGCTTGCGGAATGGCGGCACCAAAAAACCTTAAAGAGAGAGTAGAGAAGCCTTTGGTTAGTCATCTGCAGACTGGAGAGTGGGAGAAAAGTGGTAGCTAAGGCACAGCCAAGTGAGAGATACTTACTTCCAGGGAAACGGTGTGGAAAGATGCGTCCGTGACGACTCAGCAGCCAGGGATAGAGCTGGTAGCTGTCCCGTGCCATGCCAGGATTTGGCATGAACTGTGCGGCGTGGGGCGGGAGTCCAGCGGCGGCAGCGGCAGCTGCGGCAGGACCCAGGACATGTCCCGCTTGAATGGCGGCTGCCATCTGGAACTGGGCGGCGGCGATCAGGTGAGGATTGTGCTGGGGCTGCATCTCTGGGGGCGCGTTGATGTACGGGGGCAGGGCCTTGATGTCCGGCATGCCGGGCTGTCCCTGTGGCTGTCCCATAGGGGGTCCGCCTGGGCCCACGGGAAAGGGTCGCACCAAGCCGGCTGGCGGCATTCCTTGCATCATCATGGCTCCGGCCGGATGCATTCCGGGCTTGGGGTAGTTTGGTGGCTGCTGCTGCTGCTGCGGGGGTGTGTTGTGCGGACTGCTGACCAGCAGGCTGGGCGATGAGGAGGGCTGCGATGACTGTGGTGACACGGATTTCGGAGGCGTGTGTGGCGGCTGGATACGCTGGGAGGGATTCTCGGCCTGCTCCATGGACGGTGGAGCCGGAGATCGTTCGCGCTTGAGGGAAACGTGAGCGGGTGCTGCATCCGACTCGGGGGAGAGGCGTGTCTGGAGCGGACTCATGCCGCTGGCCACGGCCGCGTTGTGGTGGAGGCGCTGCAGCAGCTCCTGGATGTCCTGGTGGGTCTTGGGTGTGCCCTGCTGCTGCATGAGGAGATGCTGGTGCAGAACATGCTGCTGGGCCGGCGACAGATGGGGATGAGGATGCTGCTGATGCGCATGGGGATGCTGGTGCTGGTGCTGGAGCTGATGTGGCGACATGTGGTGCGGCAGGGGCATGCCGTGCGACGGCGGTGCCATGAGGTGGTGCGGCAGCATGGTGATGGTCGCCGGTGGGGTCTGGGGCGGCGATCCGGGTCCGTTGCGCTCGCCTGGCGGCGGACTGGCGCTGTGGTCGGAGGTGGCACGCATCTGCTGATTGCCGGCGGCAATCGAGGCGGCATCGTTGCCGACAATCGACTCGATGCTGAAGCCGATCTTCTGCTTGGGCGTGGGCATCATGACGGCTGAGGTGGGTACCGGCGGAATCATCTTAGTCATAAATACGCGCGTGGTGCTGGCGGGTGGCGAGGCGGCTAGTAGCTCGGCTATGTTGGCGGCTTCTCTGGGACACGGGTGTACACGTATTTTGGTATTTAGTATTTCCGGCTAGTCCTCTGTGAAGCGTTTGTATTTTGGGGGGGGAATCCACACTGGGGATTTCCTTGGGCTCTGCTTTCTGTTGGAGTTTATGCGGGGCGCCTCATCGGGTCGCTGTATACATATATATTCACCGAATATATTATTCACACACAATCACTGAAAACACTGGCGAAACTGTGTCGAAATCCCGTGGAAGACGAAACAACTTTCTACTTGTTCTCGTTTCGTTTTGTTTTGCGATCGACGCGCTTGGTTTCGAAACAACGGTGCTTACTCGACGACGGTTGCGGTTTGAATAATTCGGAGAGTCGTCGCACCACCACCAAGTGTATGATGTGGGAAGTGGCTGTAGCGTATCTCTTGCGCCTGCGCGCTCTCTCAACCTCTCTCACTCTCACGCACACCAGCGCATCATACTGGTGAAACTCGTTTTTCTTGTATTCCGTTGCTCGACTGCGAGTGCGACTGCGACGGAGAGTGTTGGCTGGTCTCTGCACTCAGAGCTGCCATCGCTTTCTCGCCTGCTTGTGGATTTTATCTGCTCCGATATGCGCCTGCGTGCGAGTGAGTGAAACGGGCAGCTGTCTGCGTACGTATATGCACGTACGTACATATGGGCTCTAAAGGCTGGGCGGGTCCAATTTAATGCGGTACATTTACCTCTGTCTCTCCCTCTTTCTCATTCCCTTCGACTATTGCTGTTTTTTTAGTTTTTCTGCATATGGCTTCCGTTCCACTGTGGTGGTGGTTGTTGCTGCTGCTGCTCGCTGCTCTCCCTCTCCCTGTCTCTCTCCCTATCTCTCTCGCTCTGGCTTTGTTAGGGCCTTTGTGTAATTTGGCTTAAACTGCCATTCATAGTTTTTGTGGTTAGACTTTGTTCCGAAAACGAGCGTTAAATGAAAATCAAATGCAAGGTGGCAAAATGTCTCCCTTTCTCGCTGAAGGTTTCCCAGCAAATCCTGTGACTAAATTTGAACAATTTTCCGGTGGCTGCTCTTTGTGCGGGTTACTTGGGATTTACCTCGAAGTTTACTGTTTGCTGGGTAACAAGAAATTGCTGTTGTTTTTGAAAGCTTAAGGGACCCAACAACATCGAATCTCTCTCTTTCAATGTGGATTATCACGTTCCTAGAGCACAGCTTCCCCATACCTTTCTACCAGGATGCATGATCGATCCGCGAACCACATTAGCGATTCCACACCACGAATGCACTTCAATGAAGTGTACCATTGGGCACTACTCCAATAAATCATCACCGAGCGCCGATCGGGACAGTTTTATGGCAACTGCTAGAGCGATATTGTTTCGCCACGATTTAAATGTTAATTTTTCGAACACTAGTTTTTTTTTTTTGGCACACGACAAAGTCCGCATAATTTATGTTTTCGGATCGGCATCTGAATCGAAATCAAAATCTAAATCAGAGCTGCTCCAGCAATTGCTGAAACGTGATAAAAGGTTCACATTCGTTCCCGTACACGTACTCCTTCCCCCGTCCGACCGATTCCAAAGGTTTTTCGGACACTGCGACACAAGCCTCAATTAGCAATCAGCAGCAAATAATGTTTTTTTATGTTTTTCACACTCGCTTATCAGTGCGGCTCTAGAAATCGGTGGCTATAAATAGCGGCGACAATTTGCGTGTTAGATTGAAATCTATCAGATTTTTATGGCCCCTAATTAAGCCACGCATATTTGCACAATTTCCATGCGATTCGATTCGATTCGACTCGCATCAACGCGACGCGACGAGACGCGGGGTAACAACAACTTTCGAGACCATTAAAGCGTAATTATGTTGACTAATGGATTTTGATTACAAGGCGAAGTGCCGTGGAAAGTTCACCGATTTAGTTCCCCATCCCCTGAGGTTTTGCTGTGCGGTTTAATGTGCAAAGCGTGTACGAAGCTCACATTTTTATTTGATTTTGTGAGTTTCGTTGAATGTGAAAGTACAAAATTAATGATTTCACAGATTTCTCACTAACCAAATCATCTTTAAACAAAAAAAATTGAATCTGAAATTTCCTATTCAATATCAACATTTTTAGACATTTTCCACTATTAATTTTGGCTCTTAAATGTAATTGAACATCTATTTCTGGTCATTTCACACGCCCACCGTTGCGATATGCTCGCCACAGGAGCTGCAGGACCTGCAGCCAGGAGAATTGTGTTGCTAATGAGTGAATAAAGATATCCTGCACCACCAGCAGCAGTCAAGTGGTGCCCCCCCTTCGACAGTGGCCAGGGTTCGCAAGGCTCCGCAAAATGAAAACCATAAAAAATGCAACACAGCAACAGGGAAAACAAAAGGGAGTCTGGGGAGAAACAATGAGCACAAATGTATTTATTTGATGGAAATAAAGCGGCAGACAATGGTCCAAGGTGTCAAAATCAACAATTTTCCAGCCTGCGAACAATTCCACAGAACCCAAGGCAGCGGCAGTGGCAGAGGCCCGGACCCAGGCCCAGGCCCAGCCAGAGGGCACAGCATGATGCAATTTCACCTCTTCCCAGTCCAATCCTCGTTACGAGTTCAGCTGAAAATGGGAAAGAAAAAAAAACAGCAGTTTCACTTTTTTGTTGTACGTATTTCTTTTGGGAAAACAATGAAAAACGTGGCAAATTTCCCTTTGTCCGATTCGATGGCCAGAAATTGTTGAGTAGCAACAAAACAACAGCAACAGAAGACGAGAAAAATTGACTTTAATGATGATGAGTTGGCGTTTAGAATGCGTTTGGAGTGCTCTCCTCCTCCTTCTCCACGGCTCTTCTCGAGAGTGCCAACAAATTCATTTGAATTGTGTGTTTCCCCCCACCCATTATTTCCTAGTTTTTGGCACAGGGAAATCTTGAGAGACAGAGTCTGTGGGGGAGCCGGAGCACAGCCGTTTAAATATAATTAATTTCTGGCAACTCGATTGGAGGACAAGCGCCATCGCTGCGTGTTCGTTTGTGGTTCTGTGGGTTCCCAGAAAACCGAAGAAGATCTATCGATTTCACAGTTCTTCATTATTTTAATATTTTCCCAACGATCTCTTGATAATTTGAACGCTTGTAAATCCACGCGACCCACAAAATTATGATGGATCGACATCAACTTTTGTGGCTGCATTTTCACGCGTTGTAATCAAGCAGCGATGGTAGCCGGGAAAACTAGGGGAAACTGACAGCGGTTCCAGGGGCAGGGGCGTGTCAGCTATAAGAACATCAAACAACTGGACTGTGATGAGCCTGGCGAGTTCTGAGAACTCGAGAGGAGCGTTAACCAGGAGAAATCCCATTACAGAACGCGACGCCACAAAAGGGTGCATGACCGAAGGATCGGGATCGGAATAGGGATTGGGATTGGAATTGGAATTGGGATCGGGGCACGGCATATTTGATATTTCAGGCACGCCACATTGAGGATGGGTCCAGAGCCAATCAAGTACAGAAAATACGGAATTACTACAAAGCCATAAAATCATATTAAAACACAATTTCTGGTCGACAACAAGAACAAGAGCGACAGGGCACGGCATTGTAGGGGCATGGAGGGGAGCTGCGGTAGCAGGCCAACGTCATAAAACATTTATATCTAATCCTTGACAATCATAAAAATTAAACAAACGACACGATACAACGATACAGCGATACAGCGATACAACGAGCGGAGGAAAGTTGTAGGAAAACTGACAAAAGGCAAACTGCCAGCGGCAAGAAAATGTTTAAAACGTCGGAAAAGTGCTCGAAAAATTACAAAGGGAGAGATGGAGTTGGAGAAAGGGGCAGAGAACGAGAGTATGAGAGTATGAGCATATATACAGTAGTCAGAGAAATGTCATAAAATTGTCTGACTCCCTCACGGAACCTCTTTCCCCCCCTGTGCTGTACGTGTGTGCAAAACAGTGGAAAACCATACAAAATCCGAGGCATTTTTATTACACTTTCCGTAACAGAAGGACAATCCTTTCCTTTCGGGATGGGCATAAAAAATAGTTGCTGAAATAAAATCAACGTAATTTTTATGACTTTTCACCGGTACATTCGTTGTACTCCTGGTCCTGGGCCGACTGCTGCTACTGCTCCGGATTCTACTCCTCCTTTTTGGACTCTTCGTGGTTCTGTGGTTCCCCCCGTTCTGTTGACACTTTCGTTTTGGTAATATTTTGGCTGACAGGCACTTTTGTTCGTGTGTCATTATCGTTCTGCCCAGATCCGGACGACAAGGCGGGATTTATGAGCAGGCGGCATGATATGACTAGATCGGAGCAGAGATAAGGTTTAGTTTGCTGGATAGGATACGTGGACAGAGAGTCAGATTTAGCAGGAGGTTAAAGAAGTTACTCACACTCCTCGAATGATATCAAGAATTTCAGATATTTAATCGCTTTTACATATAACCCTTCAAATCTGAAATCATCTTGTAACCATCTTAAGCGTCCTCCTGAGACCCTTAACCATCCATCAGCAGGTCTTCCATCTTTGGTATGCCACACCCCAACCACCATCATCCATATGCCACCCCAATCAACTTGATAGCCAAACCAAATTACTCTTCGCCTCCTTATCGCAGATCTTTTCCCGCTTCATAAGCCTCCCCTGAATGTTTACCCCATGGCAAACACTTTATAAATTACACGCCCACACTTGTCGACAACACACTTCTCCCCTCCACTTCTCCAGCCACCCCCAGTCACGGCTGCATGCCCCACCCCTGGCCATATCGAAACTAATGATGACAGCCAATAAAAAATTCCAACAAATGTGTAAATTTGTAAAAATGCACGAAAAAAAAAGAAAAACAAAAAAAAAGAAATTTCATAAAAATGTAAATTTCCCGAAAGGAAAAAGAATGGAAAAGAAAATAGAGTGTCGAGTAGGGAACATGAGGGATAGAAGAGGGGTTCGTTCGGGATAGGGATATGCGGACATGGTCGACTGGTGTTTGGCTGACAGGGGAATGGAGAGAGAGAGGTTTGGGAACAACAAATGAAATAAATTTGTGCATATAACTGGAAAATGTCGCTGCCAAACAAAAAACAGAAGT